CTTTATTATATTTAATAAATGAAAATCTTGGTAGGATTCCATCGCACAAAAATGAAATGAAAAAAAATTTTTATGTGTTTATTGTAGCTCAGAGTAAACTTCATAACTGCTAAAGGCAGAGCTTAGCTTATTTTCAAGCTAACTACAGTTAAGTTTAGTATTCTCTTTCTCCTTTCTCAGCTGCTAGCAACGTTTTTTTTTGTACACTAAAAGCAAATTTGTTTTCTGCTGTTTACCTACTTTTTACCTGTTTTGCCATGTCAATAATTGCATTTCTCCGCACGGCTTTGTTTTCAATGTGCTCGATGTTTGCCGCGAGCTAAAATGATCATAATATTCAGATATACACTCACACACATATATGCATATATGTGTATTTACAATGGCATCGTGACATACACGCTAATTTTGGTCAATCAATGCCGCTAACAACCCACGCTCTCCTCCGCACATCGACAATCGGAATGGCTACATAATTCAACTAACTAATTAACTGGGCAGTCGCAGTCAGCAGTTGGCAGTTGGCTGCGAGGCTGCTTGGGATTCTAAGATGGTCAGAGAGACATGGCAAGCGAATCACCTTCGTGCTGGTTCAAAATGGTTAAGCGACTTTAGCTCGGCTTCAGCTTCAGCTTGGGCTTCAGCTCTGGCTGGCAAAACTGGCATTTGCACATCCATCAATTGCATAATTCTTTGAACTATTTTGACGAGTTTCACTCACTCACTATTGAGCATTGATTGCATGCAAAGCATCATATATAGAATACACATATATATATAAATAGTTGTTGTTGTTTATATGTTTATAGGGGAGCTGGAAGCAAAGCAGTGGGCGAATAAGCCAGAACGAATGCCAAAAGCAATGCTCGTAACAATGCCGCCTCAACAATAAAATGTAGTTTACCTTGAGAGCTCGCTCGCAAGTCAGGCACAAATAACTATTTTAAATAAGTAGATATATAAATACAAACATATATATATAATTTAATTTTTTTTTATAAGGCATTACAAGTTCCCAGCAGAGAGACACTCTCTAGAGCTGCTGCTGCGGCTGCTGCGTCTGGCTGTTAAAACCAAAAGTATCACTTTGCACATCACTCTTTGGGTCTCTGGGCACTGGCAAATGGGTGGCTGAGCCTGAAAAGAAAAATATATATGAGAGTAAGGGAGCTTTTGCATGCCTGACTAGCTAATACCCTGAATTCTGCCAGGAGCGAAGGCTCAGCACTAAGAGCCCCAGAATGTGAAAAGGTTTAGAAAAACCAGGCGAATGCTTGATTTTTTTATTTATAAGAATATTTTGTATAATATATCTTGTATAATTTATTTGTTTATTGTTTTATTTGCAATCTATTTTAACTATATGTAGCCGAATGGCTTGAGCTGCTCCATATGTAAATATATATTTACATTCTTATCTGTCCCTCTCTATTTGGCAACACCGGATGTACAAGAATATATATTTCAAATACAGAGCCATAGAAGTTGTTTGGTAATAGCACGACACACATAGCTACTCATGCTATAATAATATATACCTACATATATACAGCAATATATGGTATCATCCATGCCTTCTTCTGCCTACTTGCAAAAAACAAGCTCTAAGCTCCCATTTTCAATGGGCTCAGGGTATAAAAAGTAACGAAAAAAACTCATCAGTGGCACTCGCATTAAATATATATATATGTATATGTATGTATATACGAATGTATGTGTAAATGTTCTGGCTGGCACGATTGTCGACTCTCGACTGTCGACTGTGGCTGCAGAAACTGTCTGTTTGTCTCCAGAGTCGACTACATTATTATTGTTATGATTATGTCTGGCAGCAGTCACAGCAACAACAACAATAACAGCAACAACAACAACAGCAATCGTCCCGTCCAGTTGGGGCTGCATTTATAATTGCTGGGGCAATGCGATTTATACCAAAGCTGGAATGGAATTTATGGCCTCTGTCTGAAATGAAGAAATTAAAAATTGATTATGACAAAAGCGGCATAAATGTAAATTATTTAGCTGCATTTAATAGATGCGCCCAGTCGTTGGCTGTGCTGGGCTGAGCTGGGCTGGCTGTCTGGCCACGTTCGTTGCTTAAGTCTTTTGTTTTTGGCTTTTGAGTTGACTTGAATTTCCTTCTGCAGCTCACACAAATATGGTCTAAACTCAATTTGCAATTAAGCCAAAGTCTTGCTAATGTTTTGCAATCAACTTTAATGTTGGCCTTGGCAACTATCTGGCTATCTGGCTACAAGTGGCATTAAAAGTTGTGCTCTTCTTTAGCTCAAATTGAGCTGAAATCTTGGCAAGATCTTTGCGTTTAACTTGTTTTTGTCTGTCATTAGATTGATGTGTTATTTTAATTAGATTTATTTGCCAAAATGATGTCTTAAAGTCTCATCTAAAAACGGCCAAGGCGCCATTTAACGACACAGACAGACGGAGTAAGTGAGAGAGAGAGAGGGGGGAAGTGGCAGAGGGACGACTACACGTAGTTAAGCATAATGTTTTAAATGACTTTGTTGTTCACATGCAAATTGAGGCAATTATGTGAGAAAATATAGATAAAATGATGATTTAATTTTAGTTGAAAACCATGTGTGTGTGTGTGTGTGTGTGTGTGTGTGTGCCTGTAGTAAAAATTAGCTGCCTTTGGGGTTAAAGTCACATTTCATTTCGCGTTGTTGGGGCTAATTTTTTTTAAGGCAAGTTTTGTTCTCGGCTTGAGCCTCACTTGATGAACAGCGAGTCAAGTGTCTAAACGAACTTATGAATGCGAATTTATGAGTGTGTGAGTGCTATGAATGTGATTGTGATGTCAGTGGATTTTAGCTCGTGGGCAACCTTGCGTAGCGACAAATTTGGCAGCAACGAGTCAACGAGTCAAGCTGCTGCCAGCTGTTGTTCCAGGTGTGTATGTAAGGCAGGTTGTTGCAATTATTATTATTGTTGTTGCTGTTGATTGTTGTGCTTATACTCGCTCTTGAAGAAGCAAAGAGGGGTATATTGGTGGCAATTATTGACAAATGTACAAATTGGGGATTTTGTGTTTACTTTTGCTTAATTTTATAAACTGGCCTTTGATCTTTGGCCTTAGTCCATTGAGGGCGTGGTAAATGGGCAATTGTTCTATCTCGTTGTGGTAGCCTTAGGCTGGGAATTTCAATTATACTGCTGGCCATAACGTCATACCATAAAAATATATCTTTTTTATAGCACAGCCCATGCGGGCGCATGCCAATCAGATTACAGCTTCTGTTGTTTCTGACTTGCCCAAATTTGGTAAATTAACCGACTGATCTACAGATTGACCCATTTAAAATCGACTCTTTGAGCTGTTGCAAATGAGAGCATATTTATATTTAAATACCAGTTTCTAGATAATATTTGTTGAATTAATTTTGCTCTGTTGAAGAGTGTGAAGAGAGATAGAGATCAACAGCTGCTGCTATAGCCAATAGCTGCCATAATACACATCGTTCAATCCCGTTGCGAATGACATAATCTTCGACCAGCTGGTCAGAGCAGAGAGCGAGAGAGAGAGAGAGAGAGAGAGAGAGAGAGAGAGAGAGAGCGAGAGAGGGTGAGCAGAGCGCAGTACCTGAAATTGCTGGCCATAATGCGGCTCCTTAATTGATTCAATTATGGCACTGATCTTGCAACAAGTTGTCGCAATTGGGCAGCCGCAGCATAGATCATGACGTAAGATTTGCAATTTGCAATTTGCACTCGTAATTAAATGAGCTACTGTCTGCCACTATATATTATCGTGCATGCATACATACGTATTTTTTAATGAGCTCGCATATATTTTAATTAATTAAATTTAATTGTTAAATGAGAAAGAAAATAAAAGAGCAAGCAAAATAAAAGTTAATTTAATACACAGGTATGCATCATTATGAAATTGTTGCCCCGTTTCCTACTCGTGCAATTTCCATGCCGTTTGCTGGCTGTGATTTGTAATTTATTTGACCAGTTTTGAATTTGATTAGCTCGGCTCGGCTCAGTGTCAATAACTGGAGTATGATAGACTCGACTTGGGGCCAACTAGAGAGTCTGATAGACTTGACTAAATCTGACAGCTGGTGGGAGTGAGGAAAATAAATCGTTTTGCGTAGAATGAAATAGTGCTGAATGGTTCCCTAATATACTTGAGTAGCAATAATTTACAGGGTATTGCCGTAATTTTGTTTATTTGGTTGCGTGTGGCACAGAAAATAGAATAACAGAATAATATTTTCTGATATGGTTAAGCAGGTGTAAGAGATAGTAAAAGTTTGGAGCAGTTACATCAACATATGAGCTCACTGTGATAGAAATATAATTAATCAAGAGAA